GCGTTCCATTTGTTTGATTTTATTTTTATTAATTATATTATAACAATTTCAATTAAAACTCTTGCAGTTACTGGGTCTCAAGTCTTACGATTGGTTAGCAGAGGGTGCGTGCTCCTTTCCTTGGTTTTCTCCCATTAAATCGTTACCTCAAATATCTCTTGATATCAATTTCACATTGGGCTACTTTATTTTTTTTAATGGTGGTAAGCATATGATTTAGTCAAGCAAAGCTAATTACATCAAACTCTTTCTTTTCCAGTCGCTAAGAGGTAACAGGCCTTCTCAGATGACTGATCTTAGCTTATGTTGTTTCCTCGATGGTTTTCCAAAAATAGAGAATGATGAAGTTTTACCTATAGAGTTGATTAGGGTGCCATAACAGCATCAACCATTGCATTGAAGAGTTCGCATATTGTGTTGCTAAGGAGACAGATCCCTGGAGGACTTTTAACCTTTCTTGTCCTTGAACTCACAGGGCAGTTCTATTACTGCACATAACTGACAGCAGTTTCACTTCTAGGGAACTGGAAAAACCGGTGATTTGGTTCTAGGGAACTGGAAAAACCGGTGATTTGGCCGTATCCTCTACTGAAAGTCTTTAGTTGCAAAATCCACGTGAACTATGAATTATCCTTTTCTAGTTGGAAAAGAAAGACCAAGAACTGGAAGAATACATAAATCTTCTTCCCTACGAAGCTCTTTCAAGATGTTGATCGTGCAGACCTTACAATCCCTTAAGAAGCCATCCAGAAAACACATTCTTCCTTGCAACCTTGGTGGATACTTGTTATATATCAGTACCAGGTCTGATGCCAGGGTCAGTCGAAGGGCTGATGGTGCTACGCAGTATAAAAGGGGTAGCATTTATTTCTCTAGTAATTGCAATCTCAATGCGACCTGTCATTCTTCCAGATATATCTAGCTGAAAAGGGAGAATATTCGATTCTTTCCCGCAAACTTTGTGAACTGAATTAAAATATCCTTTCTTCCCCACCAAAAGGAGAGGGAGAAGGCAACAATGACATCCTAAGGCATACCAATGAGTGCCAGGAGGCTAGTTCTAGAGAATGAAAAGAGAAGATGAAGCATCTATTCAAAATTTAACAAAATGTTACCTGATTCGGAATGTGACATTTAATAAATAAAACATGGACCACTTAAGCAACTCTACAATTGCTCCATTTAACACAAAAAAAAGGAAATAAATTTTTATCTATCCTGGCATCCCATGACAGAAATTCCAATGGTCGTTCACTCATTTTGGTAGCAGTGTAGAGTTCCCAACTCTAGCCACTTCCATCAAACTGTCCATGGGAAAGAAGGTGTGCCATATATTGCTGCAAGAACATAAATACATACGCATCGAGTAAGGGCACGGAAAATTCAGTTCACTAAAAAAAAAAACACCTAGAGAGAGAGAGGTATCAGACTTCAGTAAATGAATAATCAGCAGGCTTAATTCCAGTTTCTCGTAACTGGTAGCTCACACGCACACACATACATGCACAGAGAGAGAGAGGAGAGCACCTTAACCCTCCCACAGCATTTAACATGCCAAATTTGTAAGACTAATTCACACTCGCCCTCATGCAACCTAAAGGCTAAATCAAGATAAAAGCTGGAGAAAAGAAATTCTGTTCAATAGCATTGCATTCTTTATCTTTATCTTTATCACCTATTAAAGGGCAAGAGACTTAAATGGCTTACAACCAGGATATAAGTACATTCTTGGGGTTTTAACATCATGATACATATTGTCCTGCTTTCCTGACTACCAAATGAAGTGCCATTATCAAGAATGCCAAACTAAATTCACTAATCCATTAAGCATTGCTGGTATTAGAATATGCAGTCATGATTATCCAAGAGACATGTGCAGGGTATAGTAGACGAGGCTCTGTCTTGGCCCTTTCTGCACTATCTGATTCCAAAAACAAAGACTTCTAATATAATACAGTATTTTTGTAGAATAAATCTTGACAATCTTGTCAGCCACAAACAATTGCATGGTCATGGTGTGCATTCTTTTGCATAGTATTTTAAGGAAGAATGTAAAAGAGTCCACATCACACAACTTATATTACACAATTAGTTTTTTAGGATTTTGGAAGCACGACACAATCTAAAAATTTCACAATTAATGCATATTGATGAGACTCCAATCTTGTAACGGTCATTCATGATGATCAATTTGCAGAAACTGTAGAATATATCAAAGTAATGAGGAATAAACTCTCAAACACAATACTGAATATACAAATGAGGGGAAGTAGATTCAATTACGAGCATCATGAAACTTACTGCATGATAAGCATATGGCGATTTCCCCTGACGCTCAAAGTGCTTGGCCATGATGGAGAACTCAATTGGACCCCACTCCTCCGCTTCAAAGCAATTGCCAAGTGCAGCTTTATATAACTACCACCAACAAAAATCAAACAGCATGTTCAAAAATTCTTACATCTGAATCAAGGATAAATGCCCATGTAAAACAACAAAAGTTACTTAACAGCAATTGTTGATCACAGACCTTAGTGGCGTCGGTTAAAAGCTCGGTTCCAGCAGGATAAGCTGCATAGAATTGGTCACCTCTAGAATATCCAGCTCTAGTTGTACAACACCCAAAAAAAAAAATCCACCAGAAGAAACAGCATTAGAATCAAGGTCCTGATATATGTATGTATGTGTGTGTGTGTGTGTTGCTTGCCCTAGATTGCCAAGCTCTAGTCTCTACTCTAGCACCAAAATGTACAGATTAATCTCAGATAAAAAACAGAAAACCAAAATGAGTTCGAAATATCAAGGGCCAACTATAGAATTTTTAGAATTACAATTACAAAAACAAGAAACCCAACAAATAGAAAGACCAAAAACCATAACTATAAACCCATCGAAGACATTAGAAAAACAAGAAACCCCAAAAAATAAAATTCAATGCAACAACCCACCAGAAAACATAAGTAGAAATCAAAACATAGACGTTTAAAACTTGAGTGAAAGAGTAATTGACTCACGTATTGGTTGTATAGGCATAGCTCATGACGGCAACAAAGCAATAGAAACCAGCATAAGAAACGACTCTGCGAAGCTTTTGAATCTTTATTATTTCTTTGAATCCATCATAGAGCATCATCATCATCGTCGGTTATACTGGAAGGCGAACCTGAGACACGAAATGTAGTCAAGGAATAACCAATCGAAACGTTTAATCGAACACCTCGCATGCATGATCTGACATCATAGTTTTTAGACAAGAGGACTTACGAGTTGCCCGAAAACGATAGGCAGCTTCAATTAGTGTGAATTGATCGATATTTGTAGAAGTAATAGGATGCAGTGCTTGTTCATGGTATTTGACACTCTAGCATGTAGTACCAGTTCTCTTCTTCCTTTTTTACCGTGTTTGAATCAGAAGTTCAACACTACAGCATGTCATAGTGGCCACCTGTTTTTTACAAATATATATTTAGGCTTTTCCAACTGTTTTACTTTTTACTGGTCTTTCTTTCTTATTAAAAAAAAAATCTTATTTTTAAATTGAAAAATTGATGTTTATATTTAATTAAATAAATAAGAAACCATATATGCTAATGAATGAAAAAAAATTACTGATGATAACTTAAATCTAAACGAGAACTATAAAAAAATGAAAAAATAGAAATAATTTAAGATGTTTTATTTTGTAATAAGGGTCATATTTCTAATTGTATTTATTATAATTTTTTTATAGTATAAATAAATATACACATGAAAAGTGATTTGATAGAATTGGATAAAAAAATATCATACAATAATGTACATGTTAGAAAAAAAAATATTATTAATTTATGTTAAAATTATATGATATTTAATTAAATATTAAATTGAAAAATTAAGAGATAAATATAAAAGTAAATATTCAATCTTTAAACATGGATGATAAACTCAATTCTATGTAATGAATTTATTTGTTGAAATTAATATTTTATTTGATAAAACTATAATTAAAAACTTTAGAGAAGAGAAGTGATTGAACAAAATCAAAGATTTTTTTTTTTAGCAGGGCTACACAATAAAATGCCTCCCAATATTAGAAAAAAATATTAAAACCTTATTTGTAAACTTAAAAAAAAAATCTAATCATGTTACATTAAAAATAAATCATAATAAATAAATAAAAATATGCAAAACCATATAAAGAATACAAGAACTCAATGTAGATTTAATATTAAATAATAAAATTAAAAATACGTAAATTTAATATTAAATAATAAAATTAAAAAAAATTAAAAATATAGATGAAAAAGAAATACAAATACATGATCCTGGCACAAAAGAATAATTGATAAAAAAAATTGAGTACTAAAATGAAATGAGAAAAAAATTAGGATAATAAATTCAGAGTGAAATGTTAGAGCATGTACAATAATATTGATAAAATGGGTACTAAACTTAGAAAATAAAGACTACAAATAAGTCTTCCAATTATATATTTGATTTTGATCAAGTCTCTAAAATAATTTACAAAATACATTATAGAAGATAGTATGAGTAAAAAGTTGTGCAAGGATAAAATTCATAAAAAAAAAAAACATGTTGTTAAAATATTCTTATTGGTTAAATGTATAAATAAGAGATCCACTTAACTAATAAAATTTGATGTAATGAAATAAACTGGAAATACTACTAGCTTTTAAAATTATTTCGAAAAAAAGTGTCAGTGGAATATATTTACTCTAATATACCTACCAGATATGCATTCTTAAAATCATATGAAAAAATATCTTATAACGATCATCACAAAATCGTGGATGCCTCAAACTAATATATTTATTAGCTCGTGTGTCAACATAAATCTCGAGCATTTAAAAAGCAAAAGCAAATCCCTCCTTAAAGCTAATCAGCTTTGTTCAAGTTATTGTTGTCATCGTACTTCTCCCGCCACACGGCACCGAAGATTTTTTTGTCACCACATGTATCAAAGCCGCCAGATCAGACAAACCTAAACAACAAAAGATCAACAATTCTCCCGTAACCAAGTCCTCCTTCGCTAATGGAGTCAACAACAGTCATCATTCTCCTCCTCCTCCTCCTCCTCCTCCTCCTCCTCCTCCTCCTCCTCCTCCTCCTCCTCCTCCTCCTCCTCCTCCTCCTCCTCCTCCTCCTCCTCCTCCTCCTCCTCCTCCTCCTCCTCCTCCTCCTCCTCCTCCTCCTCCTCCTCCTCCTCCTCCTCCTCCTCCTCCTCCTCCACCATCCTTCAGCCACGTCATCAACATCCACCTCTATTTTCCCAAACGAGGCTCTCCCCACAAAATCAGGTTATATCCCTGTCAAACCCAAAACCAACTCAGCCATTTTCTACACGTTTTACGAGGCTCAAAAACCAACTTCACCTCTTTCCCAAACCCCACTTCTCATCTGGCTCCAAGGTGGCCCTGGCTGCTCCTCCATGGTTGGGAACTTCCTTGAACTTGGCCCTTATCGCGTTGTCGATTCGCAAGACAACGAACACCCTGCTCTTCAGCCCAATTTAGGCTCCTGGAACCGTATTTTTGGCCTCATTTTCATCGATAACCCAATAGGGACCGGATTCAGTATCGCTTCGAGCCCTGAAGAGATACCAAGAGATCAGCACACTGTTGCCGAGCATCTCTTCGCCGCCATCTCTGAGTTTATTAAACTAGACCCAGTGTTCAAGACTCGCCCGATTTATATAACCGGAGAGAGTTATGCAGGAAAGTATGTTCCTGCAATTGGTTATTACATTTTGAAGAAGAATACGAAGCTGCCTGTGGCGAAACAAGTGAATCTGAAAGGTGTTGCTATAGGTAATGGGTTAACGGATCCGGTGACACAAGTCAAAACTCATGCCCTGAATGCTTACTTTTCTGGATTGATCAATGAGAGACAAAAGGGTGAACTGGAAGAAGCTCAAAGGGAGGCAGTTAAGTTGGTTAGAATGGGAAATTGGAGTGAGGCAACAGATGCAAGAAGGAGGGTCTTGCATTTGTTGCAAAACATGACAGGACTAGCCACTTTGTATGACTTCACTAGGAAAGTGCCCTACGAAACAGAATTGGTAACTAAACTGATGCAACTAGCCGAAGTGAAGAATGCATTGAAGGCAAATGAATCTATAGTTTTTGAGGATTGTAGTGACACGGTGGGGGAAGCATTGTATGAAGATGTAATGAAGAGCGTTAAGTATATGGTGGAATTCTTGGTTAAGAAGAGTAACGTGTTGTTGTATCAAGGGCATTTGGATTTGAGAGATGGAGTGGTTTCAACAGAGGCTTGGGTGAAGACAATGAAATGGGAAGGGATAGGGAAGTACTTGATGGCTGAGAGGAAGGTGTGGAAAGTAAATGGTGTGCTTGCTGGGTATGTGCAGAAGTGGAGGAGTTTTAGCAATGCTGTTGTGTTAGGGGCTGGGCATCTTGTGCCTACTGACCAAGCAGTGAATTCTCAGGCTATGATAGAGGATTGGGTCCTGGAAAGAGGGGTCTTTGCTAATGCGGAAGGGGAGCTCTGAAATCAATAAGCTGCTACTACTGCTAATGTTGCAAGCGGAGGATTTCGTGTCAGACATTGCAAAGAACAAATCCCACGCTTCGTTTTCATCTATCACGCACCATCCAAGTGATGTTTTTATTTGAACAACATGATGGGATTGTGTCTGCTGGATCTTGTTTTTATTTGAATTAACACGTTATTCAGAGGAGATAAAACTGAAATAACATCTTATCCAATTTCCTCTATCCATTCTACCATCCATAGATGCTTCTGTAGACGCGACAGATTGTCATCAGACACACTTCACCTTTTACCATATGAAATCTCAAGGTTCCTGGGAAATTCACCATACATGTAACTGGTATGGTATCTCTGTAGCAATATTGACTTTGAAAACCACTTAATTTTTATAGTTTCAGAGGCAAGGTCCATCCACCGAATATTTTTAACATCGAGACTATTTTGCAACTCCATTTGTAGACTCAAATCATTCCATGATTTAATCATTTCATCCCAAGTCCCTATTGCTTGTGCAACATTTGGCTTTCACTGGTAAGGGGAAAGAATATCCAGCCAGGGGGCAATCAATCCATGGTCTTATTTAACAATGCCGAACGTAACTCTTCTCCATCAAGCGACTGAAAGTTGAAGGCCAGAACGTAGCTGGCTATAGCTCTATTTGCAATCACGGTTTCATCATTTGCATTCCATGTTCCCTTCTTAGCTGGCATTATACAGAGACCTGAGAAATATACACTCTCATTTCATCCCAAATCTAAGTTTCCCCCACATGACCAAATATTTCCCCAACGCTCCTCATAGCAACATCCAATTCTAAAATTGATAGATAAATCTTGCTCCCCCCTTTTGCCTCGGTCCTCTTAGAAAAAATATCAAATCGAAAAGAAATTGATGCGATGACTCAAACCCTAGACGCCGCCAGCACTTCCCACGTTTTTGCTTGAACAGAATTGCCCTCCAAACCCTAGTCGAGATGCGTGGTGTAGATGTAAAAAGCAGGGGGTGTGGATTTTTTTTGTCTTTGAACAGAAAAATGTGAGTTTGAAAACGTTAATTATAATTTTTTTTATTTGTTCAATAAAATAAAACTAGTTAATTCACTTAAAATTTTAAAATATAGAATTAGATTTGTTTTTTCAAAACTTTTTTTTTTGTTAATAACTTAAATCTAGACTAGAAAAATTAAAAGATATATATAATTTAAAATATTTCATCTTGGTCATTTAGTTATTGTTTTTAATAACTTTGTTTATTAGAATTAATTTTTTACCTAATAAAATAATAATAAAAATAAATACATGTAAAAAACAATTGGATAAAATCAAATAAAAATGTATCATGCAAGAATGCATATTGTAGGAAAAAATATTATCGGAGAATCAAGTAAAAATTATATAATATTTAACCAAATATCAAATATCAAATTTTTAAAAATAAATGTAAAAATAAATATTTGATATTCGCAAACTCAATTCTATGTAATAAATTTTTTTCTTAGAATTAAGATTTTATTAATGAAACAATAATAAAATACTTCAGAGAAGTGATTGCACAAAATCAAAGAATTTTTATTTTCTGAGTAGGGCTACACAAAAAAGAAAATGCCTTCCAATATTAAAAAAAATGTTAAAATCTCATTTGTAAACTAAGAAAAAATTTAAAAAATCGTAAAGAATTGTTAAAAATATGTTAAACCTAAAAAAATCTACATTAAAAAAATAGTAAAGAATTGTTAAAAATATGTTAAACCATAAAAAAAAAAAAGCAATACAAGAAATCAATAAAAGTCTAACATTGAATGATAAAAAGAACTAAAAATATAGATGCAGAAAAAAGAGCTCAAATATACAGGCCTGGCCACAAAAGATGCAATTGATAAAAAAAGAAGTTGGACTACCAAGATGAAAAAAAAAAAAGGATGATAAATTCAGAGTAAAATGTGAAAGCATGGACAATAATATTGACAAATTGGGTACTAAACTTGGAAAATAGAGACTACAAACAAGTCTTCCAACTATATACTTGATTTCGATCAAGTCTCTAAAAAATATTCTGCGAAATACATCATAGAAGATAGTATGCATAAAAAATAAAACAATTACAAGGAAAAACATGTTATTAAAATATTCTTATTGGTTAAATGTCTAAATAATTGATCCATTTAACAAATAAAATTTAATGCAATGAAATAAACTGGCAATATATTTACTCTAATATTAAAATTATTCCGAAAGAAAGTATTAGTGGAATATATTTACTCTAATATACAAGATATGCATTCTTAAAATTCTATGAAAAAATATTTAATAACGATCATAAAATAATCGGGGATATCTCAGACCAATATATTTGGTGTTAACATGAATCTGCATTTAAAAGGCAAAAGTTAATTCTTCCTTGAGCAAGTGAAAGGGGTGTGCTAAATAAAAAATAATAAATAAAACATAAAAAATATTATTTTAATTATTTAATGATAATTTTTCATGCTAAAAAAATACAAAATAAAATGTTAAAATACCTTTTCTCTTTTAAAATTTCTATTTTTATATATTTTTCAAAAAAACTAAAACCAACAAATTAGAACCATCAAAAAATAAACCAATTAAATATAATTATGTCAAAAAAATAACATCAAACTTATTAAAAAAAATAATATATTTATTTTTTTCACGTTAATACAATTGTTCTTTAAAATAGTTTTTTTTCTCATTACAATATGCATAATAAAAAAAACCATATTTATTGAATTCAAAATACTATTTTACTCTTCAAAATAGCATCTTTCCCTCGGAGATGCTCTTTATAATAAGCTTTGTTCAAGGCATTATTGTCATCGTACTTCTCCCTCCACGCGGTACCGAAGATTCTTTGGTCACCACATGTATCAAAGCCACCAGATCAGACAAACTAAACAACAAAAGATCAACAATACTCCGCTAACTCCGTCCTCCTTCGCTAATGGAGTCAACAACAGTCATCATTCTCTTCCTCCTCTTCCTCCACCATCCTTCAGCTACGTCATCAACACCCACCTCTATTTTCCCAAACGAGGCTCTCCCCACAAAATCAGGTTATATCCCTGTCAAACCCAAAACAAACTCAGCTATTTTCTACACGTTTTACGAGGCTCAAAAACCAACTTCACCTCTTTCCCAAACCCCACTTCTCATCTGGCTCCAAGGTGGCCCTGGCTGCTCCTCCATGGTTGGGAACTTCCTTGAACTTGGCCCTTATCGCGTTGTCGATTCGCAAGACAACGAACACCCTGCTCTTCAGCCCAATTTAGGCTCCTGGAACCGTATTTTTGGCCTCATTTTCATCGATAACCCAATAGGGACCGGATTCAGTATCGCTTCGAGCCCTGAAGAGATACCAAGAGATCAGCACACTGTTGCCGAGCATCTCTTCGCCGCCATCTCTGAGTTTATTAAACTAGACCCAGTGTTCAAGACTCGCCCGATTTATATAACCGGAGAGAGTTATGCAGGAAAGTATGTTCCTGCAATTGGTTATTACATTTTGAAGAAGAATACGAAGCTGCCTGTGGCGAAACAAGTGAATCTGAAAGGTGTTGCTATAGGTAATGGGTTAACGGATCCGGTGACACAAGTCAAAACTCATGCCCTGAATGCTTACTTTTCTGGATTGATCAATGAGAGACAAAAGGGTGAACTGGAAGAAGCTCAAAGGGAGGCAGTTAAGTTGGTTAGAATGGGAAATTGGAGTGAGACAACAGATGCAAGAAGCAGGGTCTTGACTATGTTGCAAAACATGACAGGACTAGCCACTTTGTATGACTTCACTAGGAAAGTGCCCTACGAAACAGAATTGGTAACTAAACTGATGCAACTAGCCGAAGTGAAGAATGCATTGAAGGCAAATGAATCTATAGTTTTTGAGGATTGTAGTGACACGGTGGGGGAAGCATTGTATGAAGATGTAATGAAGAGCGTTAAGTATATGGTGGAATTCTTGGTTAAGAAGAGTATCGTGCTGTTGTATCAAGGGCATTTGGATTTGAGAGATGGAGTGGTTTCAACAGAGGCTTGGGTGAAGACAATGAAATGGGAAGGGATAGGGAAGTACTTGATGGCTGAGAGGAAGGTGTGGAAAGTAAATGGTGTGCTTGCTGGGTATGTGCAGAAGTGGAGGAGTTTTAGCAATGCTGTGGTGTTAGGGGCTGGGCATCTTGTGCCTACTGACCAAGCAGTGAATTCTCAGGCTATGATAGAGGATTGGGTCCTGGAAAGGGGGGTCTTTGCTAATGTAGAGGGGGAGCACTGAAATCAGTAAGCTGCTACTACTGCTACTGTTGCAAGTGGAGGATTTCGTGTCAGACAATGAACAAATCCCACGCTTCGTTTTCATCTATCACGCACCATCCAAGTGATGTTTTTATTTGAACAACATGATGGGATTGTCTCTGCTGGATCTTGTTTTTATTTAAATTACCACGTTATTCAGAGGAGATAAAACTGAAATAACATCTTATCCAATTTCGTCTATCCATTCTGTCATCCGTAGATGCTTCCGTAGACGCGACAGACTGTCATCAGACACGCTTCACCTTTTACCATATGAAATCTCAAGGTTCCTGGGAAGTTCACCATACATGTAACTGGTATGGTATCTCTATCGCATCGCTCTGTAGCATATTGACTTTGAAAACCACTTAATTTTTACAGTTTCAGAGGCAAGATCCATCCACCGAATATTTTTAACATCGAGACTATTTTGCAACTCCATTTGTAAGAATCAAATCATTCCATGACTTAATCATTTCATCCCAAGTCCCTATTGCTTGTGCAACATTTCCCTTTCACTGGTAAGTGGAAAGAATATCCAGCCAGGGGGCAATCAATCCATGGTCTTATTTAACAATGCCGAACGTAACTCTTCTCCATCAAGCGACTGAAAGTTGAAGGCCAGAACGTAGCTGGCTATAGCTCTATTTGCAATCACGGTTTCATCATTTACATTCCATGTTCCCTTCTTAGCTGGCATTATACAGAGACCTGAGAAATCTACACGCTCATTTCATCCCAAATGTAAGTTTCCCCCACATGACCAGATATTTCCCCGACGTTCCTCATTGCAATATCCAATTCTAAAATTGATAGATATATCTTGCTCCCTCACTTTTGGCTCTGCACTCTTAAAAAAACAGAAGAAATGTTTGTTTATTGAAAAATAATTTTTTTTAAATAAATTTTTAAAAAATAAATTATTTTTTAATATTTTATAGTGTGATAGAAAATAAGTTAGGGAATACTTTCCAGTATTTTGTTATGTTATGAAAAATAACTTATTAATATTTTATTTTTCTCAAGTTTATTAATATTTCTAAATTTTTCAAAACCTTCAAAAAATATTTTTTACCCCAAGGTTTTTAGAAAAATACTTTTTTAAAAATTAAATTAATTTTTTTTAATTAAAAATTATTTTTTGTTAATCAGTTTTTACAATGAAAAATAAAAAAAATTAATTTTTTTTAAATTGTTTTTTAAAATATTAACATATTCCAAATAAAAAAGACATTGATGCTATGACTCAAACCCTAGACACCGCTAGCACTTCCCACGTTTTTGCTTGAACAGAATTGCCCTCCAAACCCTCGTCGAGATGCGTGGTGTATATGAACAGATTTTTTTTTTTCTCGAACCGCAAAACGAGAGTTTCAAAACGTTAATTATAATTTTTTTTTATTTGTTCAATAAAATAAAACTAATTAACCTACTTAAAGTTTCCAAATATAAAAATAAAATTTTTTATCGATAACTTAAATCTACACTGGAAAAATTAATATATAATTTAAAATATTTGATCTTGGTATTATTTTTAATAACTTTATTTATTAAGATTAATATTTTACCTAATAAAATGATAATAGAAATAAATACAAGTGAAAGTGATAGGATAAAATCAAATAAAAAAATATCATATAAGAATGCAAATGTTATAAAAAAAATATTATTATTTTATAAAAAAATCAAGTAAAAATTATATAATATTTAACCAAATATCAAATTAATTTTTTTAAAAAATAAATATAAAAATAAATATTTGATCTTTAAACATGGTCGCAAACTCAATTCTATGAAATAGATTTGTTTATTAGAACTAAAATTTTATTTGATGAAACAACAATAAAATACTTTAGAGAAGTGATTGAAAAAAATCAAAGAATTTTTATTTTCCGAGTAGGACTATACAAAAAAAATATTAAAATCTTATTTGTAAACTAAGAAAAAATTAAATTATGTCACATTAAAAAAATTTACATTGAGAAAATGATAAATAATTGTTAAAAATATGCTAAACCATTAAAAAAAAAAGCAATACAAGAAATCAATAGAAGTCTAACATTGAATGATAAGATTGAAAGGAAAAAAAAAACTAAAAATATGGATGCAAAAAAAAGAGCTCAAATATACAGGCCTGGCCACAAAAGATGCAATTGATAAAAAAAGAAGATTGGACTACCAAGATGGAAAAAAAAAAAGGGATGATAAATTCAGAGTAAAATGTGAAAGCGTGGACAATAATATTGACAAATTGGGTACTAAACTCGGAAAATAGAGACTCCAAATAAGTATTCCAACTATGTACTTGATTTCGATCAAGTCTCCAAAATATTTTACGAAATACATCATAGAAGATAGCATGCATTAAAAGGGTTGAATGTACAAGGATAAAATTCATAAAACAATTATAAGGAAAACATGTTATTAAAATATTCTTATTGGTTAAATGTATAAATAATTGATCCATTGAACTAATAAAATTTAATGCAATGGAATAAATTGGCAATACTGCTGGCTTTTAAAATTATTTTGAAAAAAAGTATTAGTGGCATATATTTACTCTAATATGCATTCTTAAAATTCTATGAAAAAATAATTAATAATGATCATAAAAAAATCGTGGATATCTCAGACTAATATATTTGGTGTTAACATAAATCTCTAGCATTTAAAAAGCAAAAGCTAATCCCTTCTTGAGCAAATACAAGGGTCTGCTAAATAAAAAATAAAAAAAAATTATTTTAATTTTTAATGATAATTTTCTCTGCTTCAAAAAAAATGCTAAATAAAATGTGAAAATGCTTTTTTCACTTTAAAAATGCTATCGTTATATATATTTTTTAAAAAAAACCAAAACAGAGCCAACAAAAAACAAACCAATTAAATACAACTATGTGAAAAAAAATATCAAATTCATTGATTTTTTTTTTCACTTTAATACAATTGATCTTTAAAATAGTTTTTTTCTCATTAGAATATGCATAATAATAAAAAAACCATATTTATTGAATTCAAAAAACTATCACTTCCAAATAGAATCTTTCCCTCGGATATGCTCTGTACAGTTAATCAGCTTTGTTCAAGACATTATTGTCAATTTCTCTGGTCACCACATGTATCAAAGCCACCAGATCAGACAAACCTAAACCACAAAAGATCAACAATGCTCCGCTATCCCAGTCCTCCTTCGCTAATGGAGTCAACAACAGTCATCTTCCTCTTCCTCCTCTTCCTCC